TTGTTCGATAATTGTCAAAGTGATATTGATCAACAAATTAATCTCATTACACTTAAATAATATTAGTGATATAAAATCACCAACAGTAGTGTTAGCGAAATTATATTGGGTTTGAGACTCGTTTAACGAAATATCTGTAACATCAAAGAGACGTTCAATGTAAAGTAGGTTTAGAATGATTTGGTTGACTATTTGCGAGTCAAACTCCACGTTTATGTATGCTTTTGATATATCTATCTCTACGAATTTACCCAAGATTTTTGGATAGTTGTCGAGGTCAACGTTTAGGTCCTTTTTTAACATCTTTAACTATTCTTGAAGCCTATATGCTGATATGCATCGACCTTTTCTGTCAGGTGTTTGATCACTGGTTTATTGTCACAACTAGAAATTTTGTGTCTTGTAATCACTATACTCAAGTAAATGTTGAATTCAAAAACTCAAGAGCATGTATGATGCTTACTCAATGGAAAACTAAACCCCAATTCACTACATCAAGCAATTGGAAACCCTAGAAGTTCTTGATTAGGTCCATTTTAGACTAGGACTTCCTTATTGGACCTAAATGGACCAATAAGCTTCCAATTTGACTATCATGGGCTTAGAACCCTTAAATGGGCTCTAATTGGAACCACATTTACTTATTTCAATATTTTGGGCCATATTGGGCCTAGAATGAAAGGAATTAAAAGCCTAGATCCATGAATAACCTAAACTAGTCCAACAAAAATGCAAAAATCCTACCACATTCTTTTAGGCTTAAAACATACCCAAACAAACTCTAATATTGGGCTTAGGGGCAAAAAGCCCAAATTTTTCCTTTTCCCTTCCAAACTCTCGGCCCAAGGCCCAAGTCCAAGAAGAAATGGAAGAGTTGACTATTTGCTTGCCACCTCACTAGTAACTAAAGGACTTCCATGCAAGAGACCCATACTTCCATGCACCATCCTTTCATGCATCTCTCTTCTTCTCCTATCTCTCTTGCTCTCGGCCATATTCAAACACACACACAAAATTCACTCATTCTTCTCTCAAAAATACTCTCTCATTCCTCCTCCATAATTTCGAGATTTAAGGAGCTTTCAAGGAGAATCCATCACCAAAATCATCATCTAAGGTAAGTTGATGACTAATCCATGATCTAGCTACTTCATTTCATCAAAAATCTCTTCTAAATCTATTCCAACTTGTGATCATGCACCTTAGAAGTCACCAAACTCGAGATCTTCAAGAAAAGGGTGCTAAGGCCAAAAATCACTTCATTTCTTCCATCCTTTCTTCAAAAACCGAATCAACACCCAAGGTGAGCTTCATACCCCTTATTTTCGGTTTTTATAAGTTTTTGTGGGGAGAATACAAGCAAAGGTGTAGATCCATCATTATGTGTATGTTTTGGTTGATTTCTATGCTTATATGTATGTTTTGTATGATTTTGATGCTAGATCTAGTTATGAATTGCTAAAAACCGAGATATATTTTATACTAGCATAAAATATACTACTACATGCAAAGTATACCAAGAAAAATAGCCAAATGGCTTGACAACACTTATTTTGGGCTAAAAACTCATTTTTTTGACACAAAATGTTAAAAATACAAAGTTGAAGGGCCTAAAATGAAATATTTCGAAATCTGATGGGTGAGATGAGTCAAAACAGTTTCCATAATGTATTTTCTGAAAATATACTATTTGGAGGATTAAAAGCATAAATTTCAAGCTTAATGGGCTAAAAATGACAATTTCGGCCCAATAGAGCCCATTATGCGAAATTTTCTGTTTTGGAGGGCCAAAACTGTGTTTTTCTGTAAAACAATGGACCACTAGTGTCACAAGTACTTTTCAAAGGTTTAAAATGCTTTTCAAATTTAAAAAGGACCAAAGTTGCAAAAATTTTCCAATTTGGGCCAAAAATGTAAAGATTGCGAATTTCAGGGACTTAAACTGCAATTTCAGGGACTTAAACTGTTTTCAATGAAAAATATGCTGAAAAATATTAATTTCAATAATTTTTGGTGTTAAAATGTCAAGAAAAATGGTTTAAGGACTAAACCGGAAATTATTTTACCTAAAGGGGTGAAAAAGTAAATTTACAAAATAAAGAGGGGTTGTAAACAGAAAATTTTCAATGATAATTCAATACACTCGTTGTGAACAAAGATTGACACTACGACTCTCGATGGATTACAATACACAATATCACCAACAATCGTTACCAAACGAATTGATTCGGTCTCGAATCAATAACAAATCCAAAACTACTAACACTACAACGCTCAATACACATATGGAACTCTTGGAACTCTTTACTCTCGTGGAATTACTCAATACGTCGACGTACACTCCTTAGGCCCAAAAGTTGCAAATCATGCTTGTCGAGCCTAGCTAGCCCGATGACATGATCTTTAGGCCCAAAGGACACTTGCTTACATGTAGTTGGGTCTAATACGACTCGACCGCGTGTAAAAGGACTTTCAATGGCAAACATGCTGCTGGTCCCCAAGGGTCCTTCAGTGCTGCTAGTAAAGTCGGGAACTCACGATTGCGGGTTGGGCTTCGGGCCCTTCGCAATTGCAATGGTCTTGAACGACGTAGGGAAATACCGAGGGTTTCGCACCTTCACTTTTTCTCCTCGGTCGTGGGACTACACAAGTCCGGGAGGATTGAGTTGCGTGAATAACTGCGAGTGACGCCTAAGGGATCGCTAGCACGGTTGTCAACTGGACGTTTTCATTAACGTACGTTACAACAATTCACCACCCTCTGTATACTCAATGCCTCCGGAGCTCAACGAACACCTCTAACGTAACGAAATAACAGTACACAAACTAAGTAAAGCAAAGTGATAGGAAAACGTCGGGTTTTCCTAGGGTTTTCAACAAGTACACTTATGAACTACATGTCGAATTTCACAACTCTTACGCTTACATCTATAGAATTCAAACAAGCATACTCACGGATCTTCACATATTTTTACGCTATTCTATTTTCAGAAAATATCGGATTTTCTGGTGGTTTTTTTTCAAAACATTACAAACATTGGATTTCAAACATTACTTATGAACTCACCAACATTTCACATGTTGACGTTTTTCAAAATACTTGTATTCTCAGGTAACAGATAAGTGAAGAAAGGACTGTACTCTATGATTGTTTTGCGGTTGTTTAAGTAACAATGAACCATGTATTTTGGAATGTAATATTTTGAAACAATGTAATGGATGTAAACGCTACCAGTTGTATCATTCCAATGCTTGGTGATGTATAATGTTATGTTTCATGTATATTCATTGTGATGGTATTCAATTGAGTCACAACAGCCCCCGGACGTTTCCGCCGTCTGGTTCGGAGGTGTGACATTTATGATCGATATCGTCGCCTGATTGAAGGTCGGTTATTGTTTGTTTAATCTCATCTTCAACCATATCGATCAGTTTGTGGTATCTAGTCATGTATAGTTCTTGTTTTTTGGCAACTCGATCAAATTCATCTCTAAGGGTTTTCAAATCCGTACTTTCATGTCCAAACGATGAATGTATGTCAAGGAGACGAAATCCAAAATTCTCCAATAAGTGCGCTCGAATTTGATGTGAACAATTTGAATTGCAACGCCATTTAATACAACTTCTGATGAGAAAGGAACAATGAAATTGAAATCCTATGAACATGTAAACTGTTGTCGATCATGATAAAAGAAGAAAATATTGATTGAGCGAAACGAGAATTACATACTTTTTTCAAACTTAAGAACGTCACAAGAAAAGGAATGCAAACATATGATGTCACTAAAAGTTGAACATTATGAAATCAAAACCTCATACATGCAATTATGGATCAAACAAAGGGAAAACTAAAAGGAATATTTTCTTTACATATCAAGAATCATGGATCAAAGAAAATTAGGGTTTAGCAGTGCATGTATGTTGAGATCAGGCAAAATTTGGGGAATTAATCGGCAACGATTGAAAGTTATATATAGAGATAAGAAATATGGTGAACTAGGAAGGATGATGAGTCATCAACAACTCTTTATTTGTTGTATAGGTATTTGTGTTTGTTTATTTATCGTTCTCTAAAATGCAAATTGATTCATACATAATAGTTTTTTCCTACATACAATAATTTGTGTTTTAAAATATTATATTGTTTTAAAATATTATATTGTATTATCTTTATAAAACATAAATTGTTATATATATATATATATATATATATATATATATATATATATATATATATATATATATATATATATATATATATTATGAATCACTTCCCTTATAAAATACATTAATTAAAAAATGTGGTACTAAACTTTTGGGTCACGTTTTAAAGAGATTACTTTTAGGGTGATAAAGATTTAGAACATCATATATAAAAAATAAAAAATGACAAATATATTTTCTTAACTTAATATACTTGAACAAGTTGGGTCACAAGCAAACATGCCTATTAACTCCAACACAACCCATTTATTACAGGTCAACCTATCAATCAATCAAACCCGCCTCAAACTCAACTTATTATTTAATGGTTGTGAGCCTCTGAATGTCCAATGTCGTACTCTACATAATGACAAAATAAAATTTAACTTAATCAAATATCCATAAGCACCGAAGTACTTGCCATAGCACAAACTACACCATCAACCATCAGAAGTTGAGACATTCTTGATGCAGAACAAATCGAGCAACTACCTAACAAGTTCATAATCAAAGAGAGCATGACAATTATAAGGTTAAACTCTCAACAAGCCCAAATTGGGCAATTCATCTTTATTATTGTGTAAATTAGTATGTGATACAAGTAATATGAACTTATAACAATTAATAATAACAAAAAATCCTCAATGAAAAAACCATTATCCTCTTTCCCCAATTGTTCCCTTAGGCATCAAAGTTACACTCACAAAAGTTACAGACTTGCCCAGCTAACCCAATAGCCCACAACTTTATACAAACTCATATTTGAACCAAAGAATGGTTACTAAACCAAACCAGAGTTAGTTTTTAGCCTTCTCCATCTTTGACCGAATCTTTTCTTCTAAGATAGAAATTTCAGTCTCAAGTCCAAAGATCCTGTTTAAAGCATGCATATTCTCAAGTATCTCATCTAAACATCTCCCTTCATTTTCATCACTTCTTAAATGTTGCATTGGGCCCTCAAGAAGCTTGTTTACTATACCTTTACTCAAACCATAAACAGCCCCCTTTTGTTTCTTTGTTAAATCTCCCATTTTCTCCATGCATTTTTCAAACTCACTGTTCCTGATTCTTTCAGCATACGCCCTAAGTTTCTTCAGTGTTGGAACTGTCTCTAAAGAATCTTTCCAAGATTCAAATTCTTGAACTTCTTGTGATATAATCGATTGGGCTTCTAATGCCTTACGTGCCCGATCTTCTTTGTTAGCTTCCACCACTTCTTTCAGATCATCAACATTGTAAACACAGGCTGTTTCAAGATCTGAGACACATGATTCCACGTTTCTTGGAACTGATATGTCTATGAACATTCTTTGTGAACTCAAAAGGGGAAGATTCTTGACTTGTTCTTTCAAGAATAATGGTGTTTCAGAAGCCGTGCAGGTGAAAATAACATCAGATTCTGAAGCAGAAGAGATTAATTCTGAAAAGGGTCGATAAATAATGTCAATATTCTTACACTCTTCACGTATAGCAGAGACTTTATCCTCTGTTCTATTGACCACCACCATTTTTGTGCACCCTTTTGCGACCAAATGTTTAATTACAAGTTTACCCATTTTTCCTGCTCCAACTACCAATACTTTCACAGAATCATAACAAGATTCTGGGATCTTCATTTGGGCAAGTTCTACAGCAGCTGAACTAACGGATACTGATCCAGATGATATTTTGGTCTCAGTTCTGACCCGTTTCCCTACTATGATTGCATGCTTGAACAGCCCACTGATCTTCCTATCAAACCCGGGGACACCTTGTCCCACCTTTACAACATGCTTTACCTGAGAGAGAATTTGACCTTCTCCTAGAACAAGAGAATCAAAGCCCTGCAGATACTTCAAACAAGTGTTTTGTGGCATCTTTGTTGTAAAGCAAGAATTGGTGTCTTGAGATCTCTGATACAGAAACACCACTAACCTGCAAGAAGGAAGATAGCCATGGTTACTTACAAAATCTCATATGAGACATGTTTTTGTCGTGTTAGAAGGTGATTAGAATAGTAGTATAGTACCTTGGACATCCATTCAGTCACTTCTTTAACACCACGATGCTGGGAGAGAGCCACAACATATATCTCCATCCTGTTGCAAGTACTAAGAACAGCAGCTTCTTCTATATGGTTCAAGGCGCATAACTCACTAATTGCTTGAGGCAATTGTGCCTCTGGAATTGAGAGCTTCTCACGGATATCAACTGGTGCTGTATGAAAAGTAAGTCCAATCACCATAACACTGCTTCTTTCCTTTGTATATCCTACAGAGTGAGGAAAACACATACATGGTCATGATAACATAAACACCATGGCCTTAGAAAATGGATAGCACTTGAGATGCTTAATCAACATTTGAAAATACCTAATACAATTTGAGCCAGATATAAATAACTTTAACACACAAAAGACAACAACAACCAGAATTGAATACTTACTGTCTCCGGCAGAGATCTTGAGAGCCTCGAGAGCAGAACGACTTGATGATTTCACTGACGACGGAGATTCAACATCGGTAGTTCGCTCCGATACTACCTCGCATCTAGGGTTTACACGAGCTGATCCCCTATCGGAAATCGATTTCCTAACACCAAAGTCTATACGAAGTTGAGATGGAACATACGCCAAAGAAGAAGAAGACGGATTACAATGAAGGAACGAACGAGATGATGATGAAGAAGAAGAAGAAAGAAGACCGGTTATCATGCTTTTGGAATGGGAATTAGTAAGAATAACAGAGTTAGCGAAGCCACTCGAAACCACCACCATTGAATAAAATCTAGGGAGCTCCAGACACCCTACAAATTTAACAAATCGTCAGAGCTAGTAGTTCAACAAATCGAGGAATCGATGAACCGAAAGTCAATTTAGGGTGAAATTAATTGAATTGAATTGGTGATGCGTCAAATTTGACCAAATCGTGGATCGAAATGTAAAGGGAAAGGCACGCTGGTCGTTCCGCCCCCACACGCCTTCTATCCCCACCGGCCGCTTCTGTCCTCTTTCTTCCCCCTCTGGATTGACTTTATACTTTGACCAACACATAATTACAGAAATCATCCCTTAACTATTTACTGCTCTCTAGTTTTGGTCACTTCAGAATAAGTTTTGTGTTGAAGGTTAAATTAAGCTTAGGATTTCTGTAATTAATATGAGAGTGATATGACTGGCTCCTGGTGCCCCAAATATATTTTCTTTCTTTATCTCTATTTATAACTCTTTCGATTTGAAAAAAAATCAAATTTGATTTCAATCAAATCTTGAAAATAAAATACCATTTAGAAGTTTTAGATTCTTGTAATAGGTAATTATGTTTTTCCTATGGGAATTACTAAATATTTATATTAGTAATTTTATTATTTAATTGGTACTCACTAAGGTGCTGTTTGTTTTTTGGAAAAAACTTCTTCAAACCTCTTACTGCTGCGCGGCGCAGCACACGCGCAACACTTTTCATCTCGCAGCTGTTTGTTTTTTAGAAGTCTTCTGAGTCAAAAACCTCTGCGCGTGCTCTGTTTGGCGCAGCACTTGTACTGCCTCTTCCAACCTCTTCCAACCTCTTCTTCTTCTTCTTTTATTGCTAAAATTTTGATTATATGTTATTAAAATTTTATTTCACATTTTTTTCCCTTTTTTTTCGTTTATTCTTATTGAATTTATTTTTCATTTTTTTTATATTCAATAATGATAATTTCTTGATAAAATATCATTATTTTTTACTGAAAATATCTTTATTTTTTGTTGAAATATCATTATTTTTTACTGAAATATCATTAATTTTTACTGAAATGTTATACATTATTAAATTTTATGTATTAAAAAGCTATTTTCGGTTTATTAAATTAGTTTATTTTAATTTTTTAATATCTGCAGCAGTATACAGATGTTAAAAAAACAAACACGCTTCTTATTATAGTCTGCAGCCGTTTGGTCCACCTCTTCTACTGCAAAGGGTTGCAGAGGTGGTCCGCAGACTTCATGAATTTTTGCTTCAGAAAATCAAACAGCACTTAAGTATATTTATTCAATTGATCATGGAAGCCTTGTTTTTATGAAAAATAAAATGAAAATCATTTGTGCAGAAGTTGAAGTACTACAATAAAGGTTGATGAAGAGCTAAAGCATCATTTTTATAATTCTCTCACCGGTTCGGTGAAGGGTTGTTGACTATCACCATCGTCGTTTTCAAAATTCTCATGCGGTTAAAATAAAATAAAATTATTTTAGGTTTAATTAAACATAAATAAATTAATAGAGTAAATTACAAGTGCCAAAAAGCATAGTCTCCTCCACATTGGGCAATACACATTCCATTATGTTGGACCATTTTTTATGATTTTATTGTGAAGTCCTATATATAAAATGTAAACACTACTGTTACATAATAATAATAATAATAATAATAATATTATTATTATTATTATATAAAGCATATTTTATTAATGTTTAAATGTATTAAAACATATTCATTCATGATAATATGTTTCAACGCATATAATTTTGTATTCTTATTATTCTTATATGTAATATATATATATATATATATATATATATATATATATATATATATATATATATATATATATATATATATATATATATATATATATATAAATCAAATAGCTTCATTTTATAACTTATAAATATGTATAAATTCGTTTAAAAATATATGAAATCCGTATAAAAGTATACAGATAACTATATTTTTTACACAAAAAGAATAATATTTATATATAGTTAAACGGTTATTATTATTATTATTATTATTATTATTATTATTATTATTATTTTTATTTTTATTTTTATATAAAACGTATTTATTAATGTTTAAACATATAAAAAAAACATATTATTTAATGATAATATTTTTCAACGCATATAATTTCGTATTCTTATTATTCTTATCTGTAATAAATATATATTTATGCCTATTAAATCAAATAGCTTCATTTTATAACATATAAATATGTATAAATTCGTTTAAAAATATATGAAATCCGTATAAAAATATACAAATAACTATAGTTTTTACACAAAAAGAATAATATGTATATATAGTTGAACATGTTCATATGAATATATATTATATAAACTTTTTTACACATATAAAGAGAATTTTTATCAATATTTAAATATATGAAAGTATATTTATATTTATTTAATAGGCATAAATATGTTTATGTTTCGTATAAAAACATTGTTTATATATATATATATATATATATATATATATATATATATATATAAATAAATGTTAATTATACATATAAAAATATTATTTATACATTTTAAGATATTTTTATACATATAAATAAAGTTTTATATATATAAACCATCACTATCGCTTCCTATCTACCAGTGTTGCCTCCAAACCACCAACGTTCTCCCTTGCATACTACTGACGTCGTCTGCTAATCGAACCTCTAAAAATCTATCAATATATCTCTTATTTCCTTCCAATCCATTCCCATCAAATGTCACACCTGAAAAAAATAATTCTAGCGTTTTGTGGGGATGATTTTTGTTGACGAAAATGTGTATTCGCAAGTATACGAGTTCGTGCAAGTAATATAGTCGTAAAACCAAATATCGATCAAATAAGGACTATCCTATCCTAAGGTAAACTGAACTAAGTAATTTCTTACAAAAGTGATTTGAGCTGGTTAAACTAAAAAAATAATAATAAAACCTTATCAATTAAAATAAAACTAAATTCACCAAGGTAATAGTGAAAACTAAAACAACCAAATAAACAAGTGTTAGGTGCATTTTATGCACCCATTTTGTAGCTTTATTTCATAAAAGTACATTGCATATACGTTTAAACTCATGCATTTTGCATGTTTTTCAGGATTTTTAATGAGACAATTTCATTAACACATTTTTGTGATGTTTCAGGGACTTTTTGAGGTAGGATCTTGTTTGAAGAGGTAAATAAGAGTTGCGGACAAAATTTTGGGACTTGCGGAGCACCGAGGAGGCAGATATCAAAGAAATAAAGATTTTGATTTTTCAGAGATTTACACGGCCGTGTAAATGGAAGCCTTGTGTTTACACGGGCCGTGTAAACGAAAACTCTTGAGCATTGTACTTTGAAAGCCTGATCAAATTATGCAAATTACTTTTGTATTTACACGGGCCGTGTAAATGTAACATCCCAAAAATACAGTCTAAAATTTTCGTTTTAAATTATTCATAAAACCATAAATATCATGCATAATATAAAAACCATAAGTCGTGTATCTCAAAAATATCAAAACATCTGTCAAATATATCAGAGTAAAAACATCCCAGGCTGAACAAATGGTGTGTGCACTGCATTCATCCCGAGCTCTTCCCCTTGCAACCGAAAGTACATAAAACCAAAACTGAAAACTATAAGCACGAAGCTTTGTGAGTCTCCCCAAACTACCACATAACATACACATAACATGCAACAACGAGATACGGGCCCCGCCCACTCTGATGGAGATTCGAGCCTCGCCCACACTCCGTTGTCTAGGAGATTCGGGCCCCGCTCACATTCTGCTGTCTAGGAGATTCGGGGCCCGCCCACACTCTGATGTCTAGGAGATTCGGGACCTGCCTACACTCTGCTATCTAGGAGATTCGGCCCCGCCCACACTCCGATGTCTAGGAGATTCGGGTCCCGTCCACTCTCCCTACTAACATGCATACAAGTATCATACAGACAACAAATATATCTATTCCTATCAAGCAATCACATATCTATACTCAAATAATACTACAAGATTTAAGCCACGCCCACACTCGGCTCCTATGAGATTCGGGCTCCGCCCAAACTCACATACATAAACAAACACATACAAGTATCACACAGACAACAAGTATACCATAATATATCAATTCATAACCATACTCAGATAATGCTAAGATACAGGCCCTGCCTATACTTAGTTGTTAATCATAAACAATTCTAAGATACGGGCCCCACCTACAATTAGCTACTAATCATCATGCATACTCTACACGAGCAGGCATTAGTGCCTTCGACCCGTTCCTACTGAAGTAAACTTACCTCGCACTGCTGAAGTTCTGTGAATAAATCTCAGGCTGTTGGCTGACAGATCCCCAAGTTGTCAATATCAAAACAAAACCAAATTAACCATTTGGGTTTCCAATGTATAACTCTGAAATCCCCATTTATGGTAAAAGGACCATTTTACCCCTAACCTAGTTTGGTCCAAGATTAAGGACCAACCTCATACTTTGAAAGCCCAAAATACTAATAGTCAACCAAGGCCCAATTTTCCAAATTGGGCCCAAACCTATACATGGTCTTACCTTAAGGCCCAACCATTTATTCTAGTCCAAAAGCTTGCCAGTCCTTTGGTCTAATATTTCATAATCATCAAGGCCCAGCTATGGCCCATCTATGGCCTAAATTTCCAAATTGGGCCCAAGTTGTTCCAATGGGCCTTAACCTAAAGCCCAATTCAATATTTTAGTCCATATACTTGTTCTTGGATGACCCATCAATATAATCACCAAAGCCAAAGAAAAGGCCCAACTCAAGGCCCAAACCAAATAAGGGTTTTTACATAAAATAACGATTAGGGTTAAGTGTTCTTACTTAACCCATTAAGGAGTTAACCCTTTAAGTACATCACTCCATTATGCCATTCATACAATGTAGTTAAACATAAATCAAAATTCTAGTCTAACAGTCCAAACGCGGGTCCCGACAATTCCCAAACTAACATTCCAAGAATTAGGGTTTTCTAAACCCTAGTTAGGGTTTCCAACCC